TTATCCGCGGAGACATAAGCGCGAAGACTAATTCGCGCCGTTCGAAGCGCTAAGGAAAAACGCGACCCTACCGCGATGACATAATCGCGGAGGGCAAATCTGCGCATTCCCAAGCACTCAGCATCCTAAACCTAACCCTAAACCTAAAACAAACCCCTAAACCTAATCCTAACCCTTACCTTAATTTAAATCCGCTTTCTGCCGCCGCGCTGTTGTCGCGGCGGTGATGATGTCGCGTGATGACGTCGCGGCTTTAGCGACGCGATTTTATCACCGCTATTTTGACGAGCGCGGTTTTGTTGTGCCACTGGGTAAAATGAGGACCCAGATTGTTGGGGGGCAAGAGGCTGACTCTGTAAACCACTTAGAGAAGGCTGTAAAGCACTGTGAAGCGGTATATAAGTCTAAATCCTATTGCTATTGTCTAATGAGTCACGCTTTGTGTCCTTTAGAAGCAGATGCTGCCGAAGAAGCAGACATGCATGTCGCCATAGTGATCCGGCCGGGCAACGCAGGACTGACGGACGATGAGAAATCGTACTACAGACTCATAACCTCTTTCAGCGAACTGTTCCTGCCGTCCTCTGCTTAACGCTTGCACCTAGGATTAAGGAAGGGATGCGGAAAGAGAGAGGAGCAGCTGAGAAAATCATCCTGACCGTTTTACCGTCGTTCCTGCCGGCGATGAAAGAGTCCCGAAAACAGAACTATGGGGCGCCTGACTTCCCCTCCCCGATGACACATAATTGAACCCGATGGAAAATTTGCCCGTTCTGTGATGGTAGACAAGTGAAGCTCTCAAAGGTTTTTCTTTGGATTGGCACATGGAAGAGTCAAGAGGTGCAACTCAAAACGAGAAGATCCTTCTGTCTTTTTGAGGTCAACCGGTGGGATGCAAAGCCCACCTCCCATTCAGTTCAAAGGGGCCAGCAGTGGAGGCTTTCCTTAGGGGATATGTTCTCTTGGGTGTATACTACAAACTCTCCTCTTTTATTGGCGTTCACACTTGATTGGAGGATTTCAAAGTCTTCGCTGCTTCTTGTTTGTAGGGAACGTAGAGGAAATCCAGACTATTTATAGTTGAAAAATGTTGCAAGCTGAGCTCTCTGAATTGATTGGTCCTGGAAAGGGAAGGAAGAAGTAGCGCGGGCAGCATTAACCGAATCAAAAATGCAAGCTAGTCAGAACATCTGCGCCAACCGGAACATGTTTGCATGTGGAAGGCATGATTGATCCTTTGTCGCAAGAGTTGCATGAGTCCTCAAAGGTGGCCCTACTTAACCTAACGAGGAAAGGGGGTGCTTTTTTAAAAAAAAAAAAAATTTCCCCCGGGGATCAAATTGCTATAAAATTTGCATTCTAAATCCTGCAGGTTAGTACTTCACCTATTGCACTTGAAGGTGTAATGGAGACCTTTAATCGTTTTGTGGGGCTTCACTTGTTCCTTTTACGAGCAGCGTTTCAAGAGGGGTAAGCATGTCTCAGTGTCTACTACGGTTCCACCACAAAACCGCGTTCGACTAAAGCACACTCGACGAAACCGCGTAACTGACGTCATCACAGGGCGACAACAGCGCAGACAGAAGCACGCTGTAAACGCTAAACCTAAAATTAACCCCTAAACCTAACCCCCCTAAACCTAACCGCCCTAAACCTAACCCCAAACCTAATCCTAGCCCTTAACCTAACCCTAACCCTTAACCTAACCCTAAACCTAATNTTAGGTTTAGGGTGAGGTTTAGGGTTATTTTTAGGGTTATGTTACAGCGCGCTTCTGTCGGCGCGCTGCTGTTGGCGCGCTGTTGTCACGCAGTTTTGACGGTGCGGTTTTGTCACCGCGCTTTAGTCACACGGGCTTTAGTCTACCGTGGTTTTGTGGTGGAACCGTGGTATGTTGGCCTGGGTCACAGAACCAGCAGTGACCCAGACTGGCCACACCTCTGAACCGGTTCCCCAGTTGCTGCTGGTGCTGCCGGCATGCTTTTTAGTCCTTTTTTAATGTTCCGTGCACAAAGCAAACTAGCAGTAATGCTGGCAGTAACCCATCCCTGGTGACAGAGTGATTTATCAGCAGTGGAAGAAGTTAGACCAGAGCAAAACATCATGTGGAGAGGCTGAAGATAGCCTCCTGTGGAATGCATGCTTTGAATTTAGAGATTTATTATACTTCCTCTGAATATTACTAAAAGTGTTTCCAAATATTTTGGGTCAATAGGCACACTTGTTGAAAGCATGATATGAGTGCTTAAGAAAATGGCTACCATGACTAATTTACCTTCCACGAACAGTTGTCATAATGTACAGATGAACATCAATTTACCAGCCAAACACCAATTTACTGGAAAGCAAACAGCTAAGGAGGCTTCCTGTTGTTCTCTCCCATCAAAGGGATGATGACTACTGAACCCCTAATTAGTTAATCTTCAGTAACTACAAAATTCCGTGTTGAAAAAAGTACATATTATTTATCTGTCCCCAAATGCAGCTGCTTACCTTTGACTATACTTTGCTATTTTCTCACTTATTTACTCTCAAAACTTATTTTAGAGCTGATTTCCAAACCATCAGGTTGAAAGCAATTTACTGTGGCTGGGTAGGTCCTTGATAAATTCAAATGACTGTATGTATCATCATGTATGTTGAATCTTAATGAGCAGTAGAAGGACCTTCATCAGCTTACCTGTTCCTTCAGGTTTCTCAAATGTGTACAACAGAAGACAATATTTGTAGCTCAGGGTTGAACTGTGGGGTCCTAAGCAAGGAAACAACCATCTTCAAAGGTGTAACCATTGCCAGAATAGTCAAGTCTATCCACCTTGTTGCTGGTCATCCTCTTCCACTCCTCACACACACACTTTCTCAACATTATAGACTATTTTTATCTATATGCTTATTTATTTATTTGTTTATTTGTTTATTTATTTATTTATCATGTTTATGTAGTGCATATTGGAGGTAGTGACCCCTTGATAGCTGTATGCAATGATTAGTGTACATTCAAAGTGACAATAAAGTTATTCCAGGTCAAAGCCTTCGCTAAAAAAATTGGGTCTTTGCTTAGTGTTACCAATATATGATAATCTTTGCCTGGTAGCTTGTATCTCAAATGAGATGAATGGATTAATTTGTTTTATGATCCAATTGTTCATGTTCTTGACTATCCATGATACTCTTGGAATTTTCTTAAATCAACCAAAGTAAAACATAAATGTATTCTTTGCTTGTGCTTTGCCATATGATTAAAGTCATATATACCATAAGATGAAAGATATTGGACTAACACCTGAATAGAAAGGACAGAAAATTTCTGTCATTAAGGAAAACTTTTTTGCAAGAAGGAAAAGATTTGGAGAAGAAGGCGGTAAAAATATTATGCAAATATATGGAAGAACTATGCAAAAGAACATTATACATACGATGATTATATATGCATATGATGATGGTACACACGCACACACACAATATCTATCTATCTCTATCTATCTATCTATCTATCTATCTATCTATCTATCTATCTATCTATCTATCTATCTATCTATCTATCTATCTATCTATC